TTTAAAAAATTTTTATCGTTATTAATCAATCGATCGATCTAAGTCAACTATAAATATCCGGTCTAGGCAAAAGCCTCTGATATCCATGTAACGGAATTTATAGTAGATACTGTATTTCAGAATTTTTCTGATTCCGATCTATAGAGTGCTTATTCTTGATTAAAAATTTTACTTATAGAAGGTGCTTATTCATAATAGGTGCTTATTCATGATAGGATACGGTAATCCTTTTATCTTTTCATCTGTTTTTTGTTTTATTATACTATATTATTGGATGAAGTCAATAAAAAAGAGACAAATTTTTTCTAAATAAAAGTTTTCTTGACTTTTAGCTTAAATATATTGGCAATTATTTTATTAAATTTTATATATTTTGATTCTATATAATTTCAAAATTAAAATAAAATAAAAAATTAGCAAATTTGATTAATTAGTTATTGAGATATTTTAATTTAAAAATTAAAAAAATTGTACTAAAAATGATTTGTTCATTTTCTATTAACTCTACCCTATATTAAGAATATTGCTATAATAGCCTCTGTTACTATATAAGTTACTTAGCTATATATAGTTTATTCTTGATACTATATATTTCTTTTTTATATAAATTTTGTTAAGTCAGAATTTAAATATTTTTGAAATTATATAATTCAAGTACTTTTACTAGTTTTGTCTAGCTTTTTGTCTCGATTTTGCTCTTTTTTTTTTTGATCTTTTCCACTTTTTATAACTTTGTTCAAGTTATCTAGCACTATATAATACTTTAGTTTTTTGTCTATTTGGGCTTTTGTCTTGTTTTTAAAGATTTTGAAATTTTTTTTTCTAGATTAGAGTTATTTGATAATTGGTAAATTACCAAAATTTTTAACTCTATTTATTTAAATATAAAAAATACTTCTATATAATATAAGTTTTTGCTTTTAACTTAAGATATATATTTTGCCCACTTCTCTTTTATTATTATATCTACTTCCAACCTTTTGCTTTTATTATCTTCAGTTTTTAATCAGAATGATTAAAAATTTTTATATTTTCTGCTTAGCTACTTTTTTTCTTTTTTCTTTATGTTTGTTTTACATAACTTGACCAAGTCTAAATTTGTTTTTTCTTATATTAATCTATTAAAAAGTCTAATTTTGCTATTTTTGTTTTGATACTATTGATATTATGGATTCCTATATATATTGTTTCTAGTGTGTCTTTATCTCCTTTTCTTTTTGTACTACTATATAGATATAGCACTTCTGTTTCTGATAGAATACCCTTGGCACCTGTTAGAAGCAATTAGAGGTATCTTTCTCTTTCTGTTACTTTTCTTCAATTGCAATTAGTCTTTAAAGAATTTTTTAATTAGTTGAATTAAGATTTAGACACTTTTTTGCTTGAATAGACTTTTAAGTATATTGTAAAGTTTTTAGCATTTCTTCTTTTTTTAAAATCTTTACTCTTCCCTTTTGCTTGCTAACTATTTGGCTTGATATATTTTTTATTGTCTGTTTGACTATCAGCCCTGATATCTTTTTTTCAACCAAGCTTTTAACTAACTTTTTTTAAGTATATATAGTTTTTTTGCTCTGTTTTTTTTTGTTCTGTTTCTGTCTATTCTAATTTGTTGCTATAATAATATATTATATATAGACTGATTTTTGAAATTTATAATTAGAGTTTATTTTTTTAAAAACTTTAAAATCAAATAGCTTTTGATCTACTAGTCTATTTTAAATAAATTTATTACCAAAATAATCATCTCTTCAAAATAATTCTAACAAGTCTAAAATTATTTAAATCCAATTACAGGATTATAAGATAATATAATAACATACCTAGAGAAATAAAAGGATTGGTTAAACATGATCTAACCAATCCTTCCACCTCTCTAGGTACATCATTATTTGATAGTACATTATCTCATGATTCTGTAATTAGATTTAAATAATTTTGGACTTGTTAAAATCATTTTGAAGAAATAATTATTTTGGTAGTAAAATTATTTAAAACAGACTAGTAGATCAAAAGCTACTTGATCTTAAAGTTAAAAAAAAAATAAATCCTAATTATAAATTCTAAGAATTAGCCTATATGATTTTTTTGAAGGCTTTTTTCTAATTACTTTCTGATTTAAAGTAGATTGTTGCTACTTTGTGCTAGTTCTTGTTGTAGTTGGAAGATATATTATATATTACTTTTGCTTTAACACTTTCAAGTTGTTTTAAAAGAGCTAATTTAACTGCTATTTTTAGAATTTTTTTTGCAACTAGTTTAAACTGGCTTCTTTCAACTAGCATATATTTATCAAAGATTTCTTGTATTGCTCTAACTAGTTTGTCAACTTTGAAATATACTACTTATGTCTCTTTTAGCACTAAATTTTTTGTACTATTTTTGGTCTTAATTTTGACAAATATGGCTTTTAACTTGCTATTGATTATAAAGCTTTTATAACTGCTTTTTTATAGTAGCTTAAACTTCTTATTTAAGCTACTCTTGTATTATTAGAAATGTCCTATAGCATAACCAACACTTTTTCTTTTTTTTTTCTTTTAGATCTAAGGTTTGCTTTTAAGCTCTCCACTGATTTACTATTAATCTTATTTTTTTAATACTTGGGTTAATTTATACCTTCATCTATTTGAGATTCTTTTTCCACTACTGCAGCTTCTTCTGCTATTTTGTTTTTGGTTAGAAAGGCTTTGTATTTTTCTTTTTTCGTTTTATAGAGATCTATTTTTTCTTCAGAGTAGTATTATTTTAACTATTGTTAAAAAAATATATATATATACAGTATTTATTTGAAATTTGTTTATATATAAATATTCGGATATTAAAAAAATTAAACAAATAAATATATTCAAATACTTAATTTTTAACCGGGATTAGATCTCTAGTTTACTATAATATATATAAATTGAATATCAAAATTGAATTCTAACTCTAATAATAATCAATATCCTACTTGTATATTTTCAAAACAATTTAATTTTGCAAATTATTTGACCTATTAGAAATGATTAGCAAATTAACTAGAATTAGATTTTATCTAATGGGTTTTTTGTTTTACAAAGTATTTTATATCTATACTGCTATACTAAAACTTTAAACATTAGTCCTCTATAATTGCTGTACCACGGACGTAAGAACGTGCCCCGAGACTAGCAATATATAATTAGCAATACTGCATAATTTAGATGATGCAGCTAGGCCATAGCAAAATTCTCTTGCTTATTATAAATCATATAACGATAAGAACTCGTGTAACAATATTTTTAAACATAAATATCTAAACTAATTTCTAATTTTAAATACCGTTTTTGAGATCGAAACCGAACCAATAGGCCAGTCTCATTAGAAACTGGGATGGGCTGGAACGGTCTGATTCAGCAAATGTACATAACGAATACCTTTTAACATAAATACATTGATAAATATACATCTGTACATTGTTCTTATTTTGAAGCAATAAATAATAATAAAGGAAAAATAAATAAAAATACAAAGTGGAAAGATTAAACGTTCTTCTTTGTTTGTATTGAACTTTCTTTGTCTCCTTGATATCCATCATCATCGGTAATTCTAAGTTCTGGAACTTTAAACGATGATATTGTATTTGTATTTGTATTTGGTAATTTTGTAAACGCTTCCATATTTGAATTGATCGAATTAAATGAATTCACTCTAGTTAATGATGCACTGCTACTAGTTCCATCTTTGCCACTTGAAAATTTCCTACTAGAAGAATTAGATCTACTACGTCCAGTAATCTTACCACCATTATGCTTGTCAAGGAAGAAAAATACATCATCGTAATCCGAATCATCAGCCTTTTCCCAATTAAATAATTTATCATCCGCCAAATCTGTCAATGCGAATAATCTCAACGATGATGATGGCCTCGATGGTGATGGTGATCTACTGGCCTTTTTAGACTCTTGAACTATACGTGCATTATCAAAATCTGGATATAATTTTGGACCTAGTTCGTTAATTAGTTCTGTCAAATCGTAAGCCAGTTTCTCTCTACTTTGTCGTAGGCTTTGAATTGTTGATTTAGACCAAGGTAGAAGTGATAGAAACAGAGGACGAAGCGACCTTTAATATAATTGGGATAAAAATTATCAAGATATTTCTAAACAGCGAAAAACAACCGATAAAAGACTCGCCTGTATATATCAAGTCCAGTGTCAGCCAATCGCATTGTTCCATAAGTAATAACAAATAACACAATAAATACAACTATTGGAGACAATATTCCGAAATTCAATATAAATCTCCAGTTATAATTATAAGAAATAATTAATATTATTAAAGTATAGATTCCATATAGAATTGGGGTAACACCAAGAGCAACAAGTAACTTCCAAGTGGCCAATACATCACGTCCTGCAACCTTGACAGTAGAAGATTTAACAGCCTCTACAATCATAATATTTTAAAAA